TTACTCATGAGATAATCCATAAAACGTCTGTATGCATTTTCGTACTTTTCTCTTGATTTATTTGGCAATAATTCTAATGAAGCAGTATTCACTGCCTCAACCAGCTCTGGAGGAGTCCCAGAAATGGAAATTTCATCATCACTTATCATTTTACTTTCGAGAACACCAGCAATTAAATTTATAAGCGTCAAGTTTGACAATTCAACCTCAATACGTTTCCATAGTAACCCAAGTAATTTTATTAGGAATTTCAAAGCACCATTTATTTGGGAATAAAATTATCGCGTTTTTTTTAAATCAATCAATATCTGTCGAATTTTAAACGATTTGCGGAAAAATAGTATGTTTACCTCGTAGGAAAAGCCACATTCCTGGACTCTGTGTTGCTAAGTCTCGGCTTGCGCCTCGACTTAGCAATCTTCACAGTCGTCCAGGAATGTTAAGCTGTTCCTACCCGGTAAACAATGTACTATTCTCAAGTAGAAACCTAAACGTCAACATAAACTTATTTTCAACTGAAATCTTAGATAATTCCAGTTAAGGATAGTAGATAATCTCTTATTGAATGCTATGATTATTTTTTCAAAGAATTAATGATACTAATAAAACTGTCGGTTGAAGTTTGCGACTAAAGATCATCAAGTCTGTATCAAATCTAATAGTAAAGGTGTACTACCCTGACGAAACCTAGTACGTTGTGTTACAAATTGTTTCAGATTAATTTCAAAAAACAAATTATAAAATTAAATACTGTTATTTCCAAGAATTGGAGTTTAAACTGTCAATTTAAATTAATTTAGTTTTAATTCACAAAAAATTTAAAATGCAAAACAGGATAATGTGATTCTAGCGTTGTATAAACAGCCTGGTTTTGGATTTTGTTTTTTAATATATCGATATGAGCATATGTTATATAAATGTACAAAACATGTACAAGCCGTATTACGAAATCAGTGATTTTCCCCTTTTTTGTAAAATCGCTATTATGGGGCGTTAACCGATATGATGAATCGTCTCGATAGTGTAAAACTGACCCTATTTAATTGAAAAAATGTTAGATTATGTACATATCTTACCCACGTTTTTATAAAAGAACATATTATTTAACTGTATTAATAAACTACGCCTTTTCATACATTTTTAGGGTTGTGGTACAATAGGTTTTCTAAAAAATGTCTATTCAATGTCGTTATTCAATGTCAATAACAACTAGAATTGATGAATAAGAAAAATGAAAATGTATTGAAACGGTGAAAATTATGAGAAAAATCAGAAATTTTACACACTATTCTGCTGTGATTTTAAGTTACTACGGCATTTTTTGTATTCATTTATTTCCGTAGTATAATGCTCGAAGACATCTAATACACATTGTTCAATCATATATTCCAATTAATCATTAAAATGTTGAATAGCATGTATAAGAAATATATAAAAACCTCACTCAACTAGAGAAACAAATTCTGGAGTAAATTGTCAATATAAACGAAGCAATAAAGTCGTAAAATCATGGAAAAATTAGTGGCAGAAAGGTTTCATTCTTATACCGATATTATTGTCTCCGGATGCGTGTCAGGCAGAAGCTGACAGCCGTGCCGGACGCATTTAGAAATTCGGAGAAATACTTGGAAATTCCAAGTGTGGGCAAATCCGAATTTCTAATTGACTCGATGCAGGGAAATTCCACTTTTGCTACATAAAACAAAGGATTTGTTTTATATAAAAGCAGATGGAATTTCTCTCATCGGTCAGTCTAGCTTGGCTCTTCTTCTGTAGACCTAGTCGGTGCTATTATTGTTCCGACTAAGCTATTGTTTTATTTCTTATTTCCTGATAACCATTTATATTTTATTATTGTATATTCAGACCTTTTCAGGTTAGAATATTACTTTGACTTATATTTGTTCATATACTGATTATTTGATATTTTATTTGATTATTTTGATTGTTTATTTTTCTTGTATTTTGTATCTAAGTTGTTCTTCCGTAAGTTAAGAACACTTAGAAATATTTACCTTACTTTTTTCTATTTTATAAATTTGATTTTGTTCTTTGGGTCTAAGTAGTTCTTTCCGGTAAGTCAAAGAACTCTTAGAAATATTTCTCTGATATTTGACTTGTTAATTTTATTGTGTGCCTAAGTCAGTCTTTTCCGGTAAGTCAAAAGAACACTTACAAATATTTTCATAATCATTATTGCATTATTATTTCCGATATGTATCTAAGATATTTTCTTAATATATTTGTCTCTTTTATTTTACCATTTCATGCTGAGTTGTTTCTTCCGTAAGTCAAGAAACACTTAGCAATATTTCCATATCTTTTCTCTATTTGATTTTCTTATTTTCTATTATAAGTTGTTTCTTCCGTAAGTCAAGAAACACTTACAAATATTTGTATTCTTATTTTACTATATTTGATTCTCTTGTTTGTAACACTTAGAAATATTTCCATACATTTGTTTCATATTTACATATTTCATTTATCTATATTTCTGTCTTAAGTTGTTTCTTCCGTAAGTCAAGAAACACTTAGGAATATTTCTGCACTTTTCTGTTCTTTTATTCTTGTGTATTTTACTTTTCATTCTAAGTTGTCTCTTCGTAAGTCAAGAAACAATTAGAAACATTTTCTGTGCATTGTATTTTTATATACCATTTTATTTCCTTGGTTTACCAAGTTATTTCTTTCGTAAGTCAAAGAATACTTAGATTATTTTACCTGTTCTGTTTTCTATTTTGATCTGCTATTTTGTAACTGTTCCTTGGAACTGTTACCTATAACAGATACTTGTCACGGTAACTGTTATTTTATACCAGTAGCAGTATTAACACGTTTTACCAGCGACAAGCAAAGATGGTCAACACCCGGGGACAGGAAGAAGTCCGAAAAGCCGGCGATGGGTCCTACAGGCCCAAATGCCCCCTCTCGGCAACATTATGCACCTATATAACAGCAATTTTTATTGAGCGATTCAGTAGTGTCAGCGACACAACTTTGCGAAGACGACACTGCTCTCGCTACAACAACAATATCGTGAGACACAGATGTCATTGAACGGTAGACTATTGCAGGAGATAAAGAGTGACAGCAAACCTACACAAAATGCAATTTATACTATTTAGACACTTAAAAAAAAAGTGACTTCAGGTTTCAGGATATGAAAAACCGACTTCATTTCAGCAATCGTATCACGCACTTCAATGTAGTATTCAACAGAACACTGTACTGAAGGCCAGATCTAAAAACAACTCTAGAAGGGATAAGAAGAAAAGTTATCCTCCTTATCGTTCTATGGGCAAAATTTGGACGGACAGAAGCTAAAACAGTGATATACACATACAGAACATATATACGTCCTCATCCATAACCTCGTACATAGGCTGCTTTATTTGGATTTGATTGCATAAAGCAAATTACAAATAAAGAGACTTCCACTCCACCTAAATATATTAACTATCGAAAATCCCATCCATACATGAAAGACTTTCCTTTCCGAGTAGGACATTGGAAGACTGTTTGTGGAAAATTCAGAAAATCGAGAAAGATGCACAAACCTTAGTCTACACGAGGTCCTCTATAAAACATTGAGAGCTGCTCAATATTACTTGGAAAAGTATTCTTCAAAACCATTAGAGGGCTCGATGGCCCATAATCACAATCAGAATCCTGCAGGTGAACCTCCATTATAGTAATGTAGCTGTGGACAACTTACAGTTGTCATGAAAAGACAATACTACCCTTGAATTTATTCTTCAGCGATTTAATGATATTAGAGATAGAAATCACGAAGGGAAGAAGTATGAAGGAGATAATTCTCGTATTAACATACTTTTTATATGATAACCACCAAGAGTGATGGAGTAGTTAGTAAGAGATTGCGAGATAAATGAAATAAAATTTATCCTCAGCTGTGATACAGATGGGCACATTCTGACTTGGTACAGTACAACCACTTACGAAATAGGTAAGATCATTCTAGACGTAGGAAATAAACAAATTTCCACAAATTTGCAACGACAGAGGGAAATAAATGTAACAGTGGTCACGACTCACGTAGTTAGAACTGTTAAAAATGGCATATGCCAGATGAGGTATCTTATTCAGAATATCAAATATCCACACATCTGTTTTGAAATAACAGATAGTAAGCCTCTGATGAAAACTTAACGTTAACTTTGTAAAAAAAACTACAATATTGTGTAGGCAGCAGCTCGAAATAGATCAGTTGATGTTTTGAGGGCCTCTCATGCCCTCAATCTTGCCTTGTGAAATCAACTGTAGAAGTTGGTAATTATTATTATGTAGAAGTTGGTAATATCCATAAAGAAAAATGTTATCGTAGATTTTTAAAATCAACTACTTTTTGGACGCTTAATTCTTTTTAGTTTCACTCTTATTTTTGCGAGGAGACGATACTAATTGTGTACTCTTATTGAATGAATACATAGTTTATTTAGTTTGTAATTGTGGGATCTTCTGTGTCGCCTTGTGATTTGTGATTATTTACATGTATACTGGAGCCTACTGAGTAGTTAGCAATAAAATCATCCATTATTATTATGATGTCGTCAGTTTTGTTAAACGTTAATGACGTTTCGACTTGTTTATATAATTATTTTACTTCTTGTTTTTTTTGTCCAATATTAATAATTAGTTAGTAATTAGTTATAACATCGCCAACTGCAGTCAAAAATGTATAGAGAAACTTTAGATTATATTAAAAATATACTTCAAAATAGTGTAAATACATCGAAATATGACTTCCTGAATTTAGTTAAATTTTAGTTAAATCAATAAATATTCTAGCCGTTGTTGATGCTGTGGTGTGGTGTATCATAGACTTATTATAAAAGCATTTCTCTCATAATTTTTACCAAGCAAGTATTATAAGTGGTTGTAATAAATGGAGAAATTAAAAAAATATTTCAAATAATTATTGTAATTATTGTAATTCTAGTAATTATTGTCACTACATTAAGGAACAGAGACTTTACTATTAGAACAGCTTTATTTTTTATTGTGTACAGATTAACAATATTTTCATGATCCATATCCATAATATTGATTGCCCGTAAAACTGTTATAACAATCTAAAACAAAGAATAAGTCAATAAGTGCATTAAAAAACTAAAACTACAATTTTTAGAATATTCTCAAGCTCAAATGACAGCTTTGATCTTTCTTATCTGTTGTATCTAGGTATTGTATACTACATATAAATAAACATGTTGCAAAAAAAACTTGTTCCATAATAAACGATCTTCGAAATTAAACTAACACAGAACATTTAAACATTTTCTCTTCCAAACCCTAAAAATCTAAAAGAAAACTTCGTTAATGTGAGTAAAAATATAACATCAACTATTTTGCCACAAGATTCTATTTTCTATCTCACCAATTCACAAAAAGGTCTTCTCAACGCACTCCAAGAAACTTAAAGCAATTTTACGTATTAGAGAACATGGTGTAATAATACTACAATTGCCAGGGCATACAACCCATCGCGGGCAGCCTATGCGTAGATCATTTTTTAAGCCTTTCAAAGGCTACTACACTCAATCAGTTGAAAAGTGACTTCGTTCTAACCCCGGATTATGTGTTACACAATTTCACGTAGCTGGCTTGATTTCTGAAGATTATCAGAGAGCAGCAAGCATTAATATAAGTTATATATTAATATAAGCTTATAAAGGATAGCAATGTTTTAGAGGCTATAACTTCGTTTTTCAATACCATTTATACCAGCGGACAACTACCTAATGGTTGGTCTAACTCACTGCTTATAGCTCTACCTAAGAAGACAACAGCAAAAACCTGTGCTGATTATAGAACCATCAGTTTGTTAAACCACCTATTGAAAATTTTTCTGAAGGTAATACATGGTCGTATCTACAATAAATGTGAGGAATACCTGAATGACACTCAGTTTGGTTTCCGTAACGGATTTGGAACGAGAGAGGCACTGTTTGGAATAAACGTACTTGCTCAAAGATGTCGTGATATATCTGTAGACATATACTGTTGTTTTATTGACTTTCAAAAGGCATTTGATCGTGTTAAGCACTCTATATTGATCGAAGCTCTAAAAGACATTGGCTTGGACGGCAGAGATGTTCGAATAATTGCAAATTTATATTGGAATCAAACAACATCAGTTTTAGTAGATGGTGTGGAATCACAAGCTCTCAATATTAAAAGAGGAGTACGGCAGGGATGCCTCTTGTCACCCCTGCTTTTTAACGTTTACTCCGAAAGAATTTTCAGAAAAGCACTTTCTGAAAAACAAGAAGGAATACTTGTGAACGGCGAAGTCATCAATAATTTGCGATATGCGGACGATACAGTACTCCTAGCTTCTAGTCAAGAAGATCTGCAAACACTACTTGATAGTGTCGTTGAGAGTTGTAGGGAGGCAGGTCTGGATCTTAACATAAGGAAAACCAAAATACTAGTAATAAGTAAACAACAGAATATAAAACCGTCTATATATGTAAATAATATCAAACTTGAGCAAGTTGATAAAATCGTCTACCTTGGACAGCAATTAAATTGTAATGCAGAAAATCACGGCGAAATTAGATCCAGAATAGAGCAGGGTAGAGCTGCTTTTAGAAGGATGTCCAAGGTGTTATGTAACAGAGACCTAAAACTGGCATTAAGGATCCGCCTACTTCGCTGCTACGTGTTCTCGGTCTTACTTTATGCTGTCGAGTCCTGGACTGTGAATAAAATCGATCTAAATCGCCTTGAGGCTTTCGAAATGTGGTGCTATAGAAGAATTTTAAAAGTTTCCTGGGTGGAGAAGATTCGTAACTCCACAATACTAGAACGTCTCAGCAAGACTACTGAGATCATAAAAAGCATCAAGCAGAGAAAGCTGGAATATTTCGGACATGTAATGAGAGGTCCCAAATATAGATTGCTACAAAGCATCATGCAAGGAAAAATAGCAGGCAAACGCAGTCCAGGACGAAGAAGAACCTCATGGTTGAAGAACTTGCGAGACTGGTATGGTGTAGATACAAGCATGCTATTTAGGGTGGCAGTGAATAAAATTAAAATAGCTATGATGGTAACCAACATTCTGAAAGGACATGGTACGTGAAGAAGGAGAAGCAAGCATTAAAATTACAGTCAATGGTTTTCGAAATAGTGGAGTATCGCCTGTAGATCGCATGGTCTTCAAAGATCATGAGTTTGTACGGCTGAAACTTTAAATGGCCATGAAGGCAGTGAAACTCGGGAAGATGGTGAAAATGAAGAGTCTATTGAGACAAACAAGAAACCACTTAGGTCTACAATAGGAGCTATTGTAGAGTACGAAATAATCTGGCATGAACTACCTAGTCTAATAGAGAGTTTAGCTACGACTACTACACCCACTAAGTCTACTAAAAAACTCGTGAAGCAAGTTAAAAACTTAACATTTCAATTGGTTTAATTTCTCCGATATCGAAGCCTCATTCAAAATCCAAGAAGAGAACAGCACAAAAGGCAATGGTTTTGACGGAAAGTCCTATTAAGCTAAACTCTAGCTAAACAGCTACAGTTAGCACAGAAAAAGATAAAACAAATAAACATGAAATTGGGGAAGGTTAAACCGAAATCATCCAAGAAACTTGTAAGTGCTCCAAAAATAAAACTAAAAGGTAAAACTAGTCTTAAAAGAAACAAAAAACGCTATCAAGAAAAACTTAGCAAAAAGAAATGTGAAAATCCTAAGTCTGTTCTTCTAAATGCCGCGTCAAGCTCAAATCAACCTGATCTTGTTATAGAGATGTGTGTAGATGAGTGGTACTGTTCAATTTGCGAGAAAAAAAGAATTGAAGACATGATCCAAGGCAGCAAATACCGTTCATGGAGCCACGAACTTTGTGCAGGAGTCCAACCTGGAACCCAAACTTTTTCTTGCTTTAAATGTAAAGATATTATGTATGTTCAAACTGAATAATTTCTGATATTGGAAAATAAATTGTATTAAACAAAACATATTTACACTAAAATTTATTTTACTGTAGGTATATTATTCAAATTAAAATTCGACGTATGTTAATGTTCGTCAAAAAACACAAGAAGGAAGATAAGAAGGAAAAGAAACCCAAGGATTTTATTGTGTAAGAAGCACATCTTAAGGATATGCTTCTTTCTAAGGGCGGAGGAGTTACGACTCTGGACTATCAAATATGCGAAGTATATAAAAGATTATAAATATACCAGGTTTTTATTGCATTAAGAGCTTTTTAGCTTATATTAGTTACTTTATGTGAAATTGTACGCTGCGAACAAATAAATTTTATTACAATATTCATTTTTTAAAAACCCGTTTTCGGCTATTGATATTGTAATTTACTTAGCTGCTTCTACAATCGTTGACAATAATTTGACAATAAAATATACTATCAAAATTGTAATTTAACGCCAATATTATCTGAAAATATTCTAGACCTTATTTTAAATACTTACTTTTACAATATATTTCGCCTTTATGTTCGTAGACATGCCTAACATCCAACAGCTTATTGCAACAATAACAAGAAAAACAACTGGTATGAAACGGTCCACTAGATATATAAATTTTTTCTGCAGCGTAAACCTGAAAGAAGATATAGGAATACAATTTACATTCTAGTTAATTATTCAAGTATTACTAGTTAATTTTGAATCTTTTTTTTTTCTAGATATAGTCTAGATATTCCGCAATTTATCATAATATTATGTATGTTTTATTTATTTTCTATGAGGTGACGATCGAAAATGCTGAGGTATGTTATTTATGCTATTACCTTTCTTTTGCATCGTACGCAATTTGATCTACATTCATCTCTAACTTGACTGATTTTACAACAACAAGGCATCACATTACCACAAAAACAAAACTTGCTATCTTGATCTATTTTTTCAAAATTATTGTAAGGTTTTTTATTGTGTATAGGACAACACAAACACTGTATACCACTTGAATATTCTTTGTCATTCTTCTCTCCTGTATGATCTGAAAAATCCGTAAAACCAGGGCATTCTTCTTTACGGTTCTCTTCTGTATAATCCGAATGTTTTATAAAAACAGGACAATCGTTATTATTATGATGATATTCTCGGCATTTTGGGCATTTGTGGTAATTGCAACATATATTGCAACCTGAACACAGTTTGTATTTATCGTGGCTAGCTTCATCAGTATTGCTATAACAATCTTGCTCAGGAGGACTTTTTCGACATTTGTGGCGGTGATATTGAGGTTCTAGATGGCAATTGCATGGTGGACCACGCTTTGCAGGAGAATGGTTCCTAAAACAGTTAAAGTAGATACTACCGTTAACTTAGTCACAAAATAAAGCATTTTTACTTGTCACTAATAGGGAAAAGTTTGCTTTTTGTTATCATAATTTTATCGCGCCTATATGGTATATTCTAAAGAAACAGACAACCGACTAACTACTAGTAAATTGACATTCAAAGGAAAAAACTCTGAGAAAACGTTTCCTGGAAAATTTTCGTGCTCTTTGAAAAATAGCAGACACCAACATGATACCCAAAAACGACGATCCTCGTATCGACCCTAAATTCTACAGACCCATCTCTAGTAAACAAACACTCTAGTCAAAGTCTATGAGAAATTCCTGAAGAAGTTCTTCAATACGCCCACAATATCATCTTAAACTTCCAATTTGGATTTAGATGCAAATTTAAATATTTTAATTTAAATTCGAAGTGCATTGACTGAATCCTTCATCCACATCGCTCATACTCATTAACTTCAGGAAAAACTGGGTAAAAGACACATTTCTTGATGCGCCAAAGGCATTTGATCAGGTCTGATATATAGGCCTGATTAAAAAGTTGCATCTAATTGGACTACCGTTGCCCTATACTCCTACCGTAATGGTGGAACCATAAGAATTAAAATTGCAGTATCGCTCAGTGCTCTATTCACTTCATCAGCTAGTATGTCAGAAAGCTCTAAGCTATTCTCAATTTTTTTAACAGTCTACCCTAGCAACTTCGATATTAGTCCATATCTACCTCCCTTTCTTTAAAAACACTTTTATATGCTAACGATACGATATTTCCGCCGTACGCAGGGATCCATTGGGATTCAATTACGCTCAACACCAAATTTATTTGGTCTGTTATATCTTGATACTGTCACTTAATTCATACAAAACACAGGTTATAATGTTCAGAGACTCGTTCCAAACGATCTTAAACGATCCCTACCTAACACTCAATGAAGAAATGTCCGTTTTTGAATAATCCATGTCCTACTCTAGAGTTAATTTAACACTGACTCTCAACTGAGATACAGAGATTACAAATACCCTAGATAATGTAAGAAAATAAACTACACTTTTGGAACGGCTAAACGGCAAATTCAACACAAACAGAAAATACCCTCCTATTCACTTACGCTTTCATAAAACCCACAATTAAGTACCTTGTTCCCCTATACTGGCTGCTTAAGTAAAGACAAACGAACAAGGTCAAAGAAAGGTAATCTCCGTAGACTCTGTAGGAAAGTAAATTTATATTCCTTAGCCCTCATTTATAACCACGCTGCGATCCAATTTATAAGCCCTAGCATCGAATCTCTGGGACGCAAATTTTTCTCGATCTTCTTCTTAGATGCAGGTATCGTGATATCATGAAGCTGTTAGGTAATTTTTCCAATGTTCCTCCACGTTTTTCTATCTTCTTTCAATCTAACACATTCTGACAATGGAGCGCCAATGGTAGCAACAATATGGTCCGTGTATCGTGTAGGAGATCTACCTCTACTTCTTTTGCCTTCTACTTTTCCCTGGATGGTAAGTTTTTCAAGACCATTTCTTCGAAGCACATGTCCAAAATGGCTTATTATCTGTTCTGTTATTTGTGTTCTTAGTCTTTTCTTTATGTTTAGCTGGACCAGTATGGATTCATTTGTTCTTCGGGCCACCCATGGTATTCTCAGCATTCGTCTCCAGCAGTACATCTCAAATACATCTATGTTCTTTTTGTCTTTCTCAGTAAGGGTCCAGCATTCCGATGCATAAGTAAAAACTGGAAAAACTAGACTTCTTACTAGTCTCATTTTTGTATCGGTAGTAATTTCATGGCTTTTCCAAATTTTTGTTAATTTTGCCATAGCGCTTTTTGCGATTGCTGACCGCCGCTTTATTTCTTCAGTACAGCCTCCTTTGTTGGTTATTAATGAGCCCAGATACACAAATTTATCTACAACAGCGATATTGTTTATCCTAACCAGATGATTTTGATTGTTGTTAGCTCTGTCAATTATCATGATTCTCGTTTTATCCCTGTTTATTTTAAGGCCCATCGTTAAGCTTACGTCTTCTATCCGTTGTAGCAGGTGAATCAATTCAGTTTCAGAACTAGCGAGGATAGTAGTATCATCTGCATATCTTAAGTTGCAAATCTTCTTCCCGCCAATGGTGATGCCACCGTTCCAGTCCTCAGTAGCTTTCCGCATTATCCATTCACCATAGATGTTAAATAAAATTGGGCTTAGTATGCAGCCTTGTCTCACGCCCTTTGTGACCCTGAAACTGTCAGTTAGTTCCCCATTTATTCTAACTCTGGCATAATTGTTATTGTACAGGCTTTTAATTAGCAGTATCAGATGATTAGGGACTCCCATTTCAGACAAAACCTGCCACATTTTACTCCAGTATTTTACTTTCTCGATCTATTTCCTAGTAAAATGAAGCACAATTTTTATTAAAAGGGCTAATTAATCTATATAATTGTGTGTACTGAACATCTGATGAGTCTCAGTTAACCATCACACGGCAGTTAAATGTTTCTGAAATCATAGTTTGAGCTAAAATTTATGCGGGTGGTGTTATCGGCCCGTACTTTTTTACGGAACGGTCAATGCAGAAAATTACCTGGAACTTCTCATGGATTTCAAGAGAGAACTTGACAATAATCTGCAGTTTATTCGACATTTTCAGCAGGACGGCGGACTTTCTCACTACAGACTATAAGTGCTTTTCTAAATGAGCTCTTTGATGGTTGAATAGGGACAAAGGGCATCTTCAAATGGCCTACTCGTCCGCCATACTTTACGCCGTGTAATTTTGTCTTGTATGGAGTGCTAAAAGATAACTAATAATGGGCACCCCAATACCAAATATCCAGCATTTAAGAGAGAGGACTGAAGAGAATTTATGATGACTACCAAAAGCCCAAAAAGCCCAACAATACATGGGGAATAAATTAAAAAATTTCAAAAATATACATATCTAGGAATAATAATTATTGAAAAGTACACAGAGGAGGTTAAAGCGAGAATAGGGGAAGCAAGGAATGCTTTCAACAAAGTAAAAATAGTAGCAGAATTCTGTAGCAGAAATATTAAAATTCCTTTAAAGACAAAACTTTTGAGGTGCTACGTGTTCTCCGTATTATTTTATGGGTTGGAGGCTTAAATATTCAAGAAAGATCAGACATGAATTTTGAGGTGTTGAGAAGACGGGAAAAATAGAAAGATGTTTAAAATACTAATAAAATTAATTAGAAAATTTCAGTATCTGGGACATGGCATGAGAAGCGAGCGTTAGAACTTGCAGCAATTAATAATTCAAAGAAGAATCCAGGACAGAAGGAGTCGTAGAAGAAGCTGGATCTCCGGGTTAAACAATTTGAGAGCTTGATTTAACTGCACTTCTGCAGCAATAGAAGGCCCTTTTTATTGCGGCAGATAGAGATAGAGCAGCAATATCGAAAGTGCGAATTGCCATGATGAATGCCGACCTTCTTAGATGAGATGGCATATGAAGAAGAGACTGAAGATAAATTCGAAGCTCTCTGTGCTAACCCGGAATTATGTAGAAAGACCTACGTTGCCGTGGTCAAACGATTTCTATATATGTATTGTTATGATGTGTTGTTTCTGTATGAGCTATGAGTAAATTTGAATGATATATGTAATTATAGGGTTTTTATCGCGGTTCTCAAAGAATTAGTTTGTAAGAACTTTTTTAGATTATCTTTATTATAACTATTATGAAACAAACATATCTATCTAATATAAGCAATATCAATTTAAAACAATCTATCTAAAATTTGAAATTCTTACAATTATTAAATTATTAACAAAATTTGGTACCTTTCTATCACTGAACGCCTAAAGTCTTCCACAATCAATGTTATTATCACCACTCGATATCTTCTTACTCAGACTTGGTTATCCAATAATTTTAATATGTTTCTTCTTAATTATCTCCACTCACCATATAAATATATAAATTTAAATCCTTGTAATTTCCATATAATGTACTTTCAAATATACTGGATCTTGTGGTTGTACTATTGAATGCTTACTTCAATGAATTAACTTCATACTGTCACTATATTACTGTGGTAATAATTAATCTCCAACTGTATTTGACTTAATTAGCTCAGTTAACTTAATTAATGCCTTCTTCTAGCTAACAATCTCTTCATAACCTCATAAATTCTTCTTAATTCTTCTTTGTAATTAATAATAATGTAACTGACTTAATAATGCCCTTTAACTGACTTCATAATCTTCTTGTAACTAAATTCTTGAATTCTAACTTTACTAACTTCACTAATCAACTGTAAATTACTTCATAATAATAATGTAACTGACTTAATAATCCCCTGTAACTTAATGCCTTGAATTCTTCTAACTAACTGATCGCCTGATCCAAATTACATGGTATTTATATCATTTCATGGTTCCAGAATAATCTAGCAATAAATAAGGTTCGAATCATTCTATTTTTTCTATCTGAACATTCTGGAATAAATGGAATGGTTTTTGTCTATGTAATGGACTATGCAAATAGTCCTATTGACGTTTCTAGAACTCTCTCTGGTCTACATGTACAATTTAACTGGCATTTAGGCTCTTCAGATCAGAATTACACTATTATATGTAACTTAAACATTTATATTAAATATATTATCCTATTTTTTATCCGTAATTATATTTTAAATTAACATTCCAAATAAATAAACTCATTTGACTTCTGACAATTACAGTGTATATCTGGTTGCATATGTATATGGCTGACTTATATATTTATAATTATAAAAAAAAAACTTTTAACCTTTATTATATGCTAGATTCTTAAAAATACCCTCATTTAATTATTTTTTTAATAATATTATCTAGTATATAACTTATAAATTATGTCTTTAATTACTATTTAAATAAATTTATTAATTAACAGTGTATATCTGGTTGTATATACACATGGCTGACTTAAATATATTTCTATGCTAATTTATTGTATTTCTGTTCTCATTACAGTATA